AACGGGGGGGGGGGGCACGGGCCCCACCCCGTTTTCCCCCTAATTTTTTTAATTTCAATGCATATATTGAAAGTAGCGCTACCCTCTTATCTATTCTGAATATGTAGTGTGCCCCCCCCCCCACTCGCCTCCCCCGTTTGAAAAATTCTGGATCCACCCCTTGGCTTAGGCCTTTAAAATCATTTCAGGGGTTTCTAAGTTTAACACAAAGTACTGTATCGAGTTAAGTAACACTAGACGCAAATGCTACTATGTTATTCTGTTAAAACTTTCAATAATTGCATAAGTAGCTTCTGCATCAATATTTACGAGTCGAATTTCATTCACCGTCTTAAAACTGTCATTCTGTGAAAACTCTTTTACAGCACACAGCAACGCGTCTGCGCATTCATCCTTGCTTCCGCCATATATCCCAGAGCTTATCAATGGAATTGCAATCGATGTAGCTTTAAGTCTCGCGTCTGCATATTCTAGACAATTATGGAATGTCTTCTTCAGCAGGTGCGAAAATGCATTTTTGTCCTCTTCACGTTCACGCATTGGTCCGACAGCATGTACTACATATTTTGCTTTTAGCTTGTAGCCACTAGTGTGCAGCACCTCTGATACTTTCAATTCACCCCCTCTTCGATCTTCGAGTAATTGTTGTCCTTCCACATTGATTTCCTCACCAGCCTTCAGAGCAATAGCCCTTGCAACACCTCCTCCATGCTGAAGTCTACCATTAGCAGCATTGACAATGACATCGGAATCTTCATCGGTGATGTCACCTTGTCGTATAATCATTGTAATTCCTCTTCCTATTGTAAATTCTGTGAGTGATTGTTGGTATGATGTTGATCCATATTGCACTTCATTGTTAGAGACATCTTTTTTAATTTCATTTCTTTCTCTATTGATCCACTTTGGAAGACATTGAAAAGCTATGCAAAACAATACAATTAGAGTACAAAATGCAAAGACGCATATCACAGTGATGTTCTTCTCCATCGTAAATCTCTGCTTCTGTGTAATTAAGAAAAACAATCACAGGTTATTACAGTCAGTACATCGAGATCATAGAGCTCCAGAGGCACAGGGATATGGTGGCACATAGAGAAAGAATGCCAGAAGCCCCTGGATAATCTCTATTTCATTGTGATTGTGCGCCTTTGAGAGCAGATTGATTTGTTATGAGAATCCTCGTAATACAGAAACAACCTATCAGAAATATGCCATTTCGGATGCTCCAAGGCAAAACACTGGGACATCACTTTAGGGACACTTTCCTTTTCAGTTTCTTATAACTTTACTTTGGGATAAATATAACGTATCAATACGCTATCCGGTTCAGGGTTTTAAGAATGGGTCTTCTGGGCAATATACTAGCGCTGACTGTTTATTGTTTTACATTGGATCTGGTATTTGCCAACTTTTGTAATCAGTTACGCTGGTGGAGTCTTGAGGACAAGACGAAATATTCGTTTCCTAAATAAATTATATTGTGTTGTACTGTCTAACTCAACGTTTCTGCGTCATTATTTTCTGTCTTATTTTCTGTTTTATTATTTGAACACACGTGGACTAATATGACTATATATATA